GCAGGAGACCAGCAGGAGGGCAGGCGGCCCCTGGGGCTGCAGGGGGCAGGAGACCAGCAGGAGGGCAGGCGGCCCCTGGGGCTGCAGGGGGCGGCAGAGGTGAGGCACCTGAGGTTGTGCCCAGGACAAGGCTGTGCGCGCAGTGCTGGAGCTCACCCAGGCCTGTTCCGACCTGCCCTCCGCCACGTCCTGCAGGCACCCAGCACTGCCACGCAGCCGGGCCAGCGCCTGGGCTGGGAAGTCTCAGGTCAGGCAGTGACAGTTGCTGCTGGCAACTCGGCTGGTGCCCACCGGCCGCGAGAGGACAGGGGATGACGGCACCAGGCTGCGAAACCGGGCTTAGGACCGGGAGGGAGCGGGCGAACCGCGCACGCGCAAAGGGACAAACCACTGGCCGTTTGCACTCCAGACAGGGTTCATCAGACCGACGAGGGGAGAAGCCGCGCTGGGCTGGCGTGAGGACCCGGCATCCCGCCTGTCGGCTGGGGGTCAGGGTCATCCTCCGCTAGCTCTCGGGGTGCTCCAGATCTGGCGCCTGGCCGCTGCGTCTGCGCCTATGAGAATTCCTCCTTCTCCCCACCCAAATCTGCTCTGCTCACGCCCGCCTCCGGCCTTGGCTCACACTCGCCCTCCTGGCAGCGCCACCCGTCTGTCCCGGGCATATCCCAGCAGTATACCGCTGTGTCAGGGTACTCGCCAGAAGGCAGCACCCTCCTTCCAGAAGCTCTGGTGGAGATGGCGCAGCGCAGCAGCTGGAGCAGGGCTCACAGGGGCCCGCAGACCTGGTGGGAAACCCAGCTTCACCAGCAGCTGGCCGCGAGCCAGGGCGAGGCACACACCTCGCTGGGCCTTGGCTGACGCGCCCTAAAATGAAGACGGCAGCTCAGCTGTGAAGGTGAACAGAGGTGACGCCGCTCAGGCATGGAGCTGCATCCGGAAGGGGCAGCTCTTCCCTGGGAAGCCCGACCCAGGCCTCCTCCGGTGTCCACGCAACTCCTGCTACCCTGGCAGCACACTGGCCTGCCCACCCTGCTTGTGGGGAGCTCTCACTGGAAACGGGTCCCCTCCTGCACCCCTTCCACGCTCTGAGGTGGGCCTGGGGACCCCCAGACACGGGTCCTGCTCCCACCCTGGGGGGTCTTATTGCAGACTGACCCCCTCTATCCAGGCCTGCCAAAGCAGCTGAAAGACCCAGGCTATACCGGGAGTTACCTGATTGCTAAACAAAACACACAATGTTTCTACTTTGACAAATCTCCTCCACCAGGACCTGGGAGGTTAGGACCTCAGAATTCTGCACTGGACTGTGGTGACCTGGGGAGCACCAGCCTCTGGCCCTGTCACTGCCCCTCCCCCGTTTGCTCTTGTCCCACACCCAGGGCTTGGTGGCATCCGGGGACCCAGCCTGCAGTCCTGTGCTCTGCTCACACCATCCCAAAGCAGCACTTGCTGGGCTCAGGAGCAGTGTTGGTGAGACGTGCCCTAAAGATGCTCTCAGGAGAGAGGCCCAGACAGACCCTGGGCCAGGCCCCATCTCCGCCATTGGGTCTGGGGGAATAAAATGCCTGTGACTGCTTCCCAGATGGCATGGGGTCCTGTGGTGGTCCCAGGGGTGCGCGTCATCTGACATATAGGGGTTGCTGGGAGTCAGCTCCAGTGAGCTAAGTGGTCTGGAGAAAAGGTGCTCAGCCGTCCAGGGGAGCCCTCATGCCTCTGCCCAGCTGTGCTGTCCATCATCTCCCCCTGCACTTCCACGGCCCTGCTCAGCTCCCCTGCAGATCAGCTGCCCCTGCGGCCCCCTCCCAGTCGTCACACCTGCTGGGATCCACCTGGGCTTGCACCGCCCACATTGCTGCTTGTCCAGGTCCAGCCCCACCTGCAGGGCCTCGGGAGTATCAGCCTGGGATGAGATATTCTAGGGAGATAATGCAGGGGCCCGAGGGGGTGCCCAGCCTGAAGCTTCTAGCTAGAAGTGAGGTCTGGCCTGGGCCCTGGAAGCCCCGGCCTTCCTTCCACCTGGGGCTGCAGGCAGAGCAGAACGCCCTGGGCCCCAACCTGCGGGGTGGCCGAGTCCTGGCTGGAGACGGCTTGCCAGGGAGCCCTGGGTGGCACAGCCCTCACCTCAGCTGGGGGCTCAGGGGAAAGGCCAGCCACCAAGCTCCAGATTAGACTCGTGTTGAGGCCCCTAGATCTGGCAGGAGTGTGGGGGCAGGCCTGAGGCTGCCCCATGTCACTCCCTGCAGAGCTGTGCCAGTCTGGCTTACAGCACTGCTGTGGGGGTGGGTTTCGGGGGCTTCCCTCACTCTCCTAGCCCCCTCCACGAGCCCCCCTGCCCCAGGGCCCCCAGCCTCCCCCACCGCTGCGGGCACACACACCAGAGCCACCATGGGGAGAGCACCTTTATTGTCGGGGCGCCATGGACTCCTGCTCGCCCCTGCCCACCTCAAGGACGGAGCGCTGTACCTGACCCCCCACCAGCCCTGCTCCCCAGGGACCACCGGAGCCTGGGGCAGGGGAGGTCTCCAGGCTGGGGCAGGCCACCGCTCCCAGGGGCACCAGGGCTGGGGCCGGGCTCTGGGAGATGTGCCCCACAGTGGCGCCAGCACCTAGAAATCTGAGTTTGCTGAGTCCCAGGCCCTGGGTCCTGCCCCAGCGAGGAAGGAGCACCCGGGTCAGTTCAGGTGGCAGGGGACCCTGGCCTGAGTGGCCTTGAGGGCTGTGGTGAGTGGCACTGGGGCACGGGGAACCGGGCTTCCGCTCTAGAGCCTGTCTGGAGCACCCAGCCCGGGGGGCCTGGGCTCGGCAGTTCTCTGGTTGTCAGGGGGACGCTGGACTTGAAGGAACCCAGACACGGTGCTGCAGCTTCCTGGAGCTCCCAGAGAGGGCAGGGCTGCGCGGCCGGCCCCGTCAGGGCTCGCACTGCGTCCTCACAGCTCGGGAGGCAGCAGGCCCGGCCGGGCGGGAGGTTCCGAGAGACTGGGAGGCCGCGGTGGGCACTGCCAATTTGACCTGAGGGTCCCGAGTCTCAGTCCTCTTCTCTCACAGGCTCCATGTCCACGCGACTCCCATGGCCATGTTCAGGGGCTCCCTGGCCTCTGAGAACAGCTACCGGCCAGGCGCCCTGCCCATGGGGCAGACCCAAGCCAGGAAGAGGATCTGAGGAAGAGCGGGCCCTCCTGTCCACTGGTCGATCCCGTCTCCCCACCGCCGACTCCGGAGCCGGCTCGCCAGGCCCCGCGCCCGCCCTGTCTGAGTGTGGAGAGGGAAGCTGGCAGCCCGGAGTTTGGCTACCAAGAGGCCTGGGTCCAGATACCACCCTAACCCTCCATGGTCCAGGGTCCGGGTAGGCTGCTGATCCCCTCCAAGCTTCCACCCCTCCCCGCCCCCCGCCCAAGCCTACCTCCTAAGGGTTAAGTGAGACAATGTAGGGAAAGCCCCTTGGACAGGCCCAGCGTAGCGGGGACTCGGAAAATGAGTATTGCAACTATTCTCACGCCCTCCCCAGCCCCCGTCCCAGCAGGCAGTGGGGTGAGGGAGGGCAAGGACGAGGGTGGGCACCACCGAGGTCCTGGGCCCCTCCGCCCTGTTTCCAAGACCCCAAGCTCTGGGGCCCGTGTCCCTCGCCATGGCTGGTGCCTGGAGCCCGGTCCTGTGGGACCTTCGGGAGCCGGAGTGGCACAGGCCTCCGTCCGGCCCCGGTGGGCACCGGGCTGGCCCTCAGGCTGCTCTTACTTCCCAGCACCAGTGCTCTTCCGCCCGTGGTCAGGGTCAAGCAGGGCAGCAAGGGAGGCGTCGGGAGGGGGACCCCCACGCTTCATCTTGAGGCTGGCTCTCAGGGCAGCGTCCTGGCCAGAGCCCCCCTCTGGGGAGGCCAGCGGATCTGGAGGAAGAGCAGGGGGTGGCTCGACACAGAACCTTGGGCACACTCAAAGGCACCTCCGCTCTGGTCCCTTGTGAGGGGAGAGCTGTGCCCGGTAAGAACAAAGGCAAAGGGGCAGGGTGCCTGCTGCTCCCCAGGGCCCCATGCCCCCCCAACCCCCTCACTCACCCATCCACCCTTTTGCCGATCCCCTGTCCCTTTGCCCAGCACCCCCCCATCCTTTTGCCCATCCCCCCACCATTCACTCACTCATTCATTTTTTAACAAACACCAGCCACGGCTGGGCGCCAGGCCCTAGAGTGTCAGTCACCACCCACCACAGGGCCTCACACTGCCAGGGAGACACAGAGCAGACAAGGCTCTGCAGAGCACCCTGGGGCTGGGGGCGGGTGGCTCCGGGAGGAAGAGACCTCCGAGCAGGCCCAGACCCCCGGGCAGGCCGAGGTGGGAGTCAGCAACCCGCAGAGGGGGCCAGGCGGCAGCAAAGGCGGGGTGGGAGGAGCCTGGGGTCTGCGGCTCCATGTCACGGCTCCCGTCATGCGGGGGGAGGTTGTCGTGGTCAGCAGGGGGCCGTGGAGGGCCCTTGAGCCGGGGCAGGACAGGGTGGTTTGGGGGAGATCCTCTGGCATCCAAATGGCAGGGTCCCTGGCACCAGACCCCCGAGAAGAGCTGCAGCTGCCCTGAGGGCGGGGCCAGGGAGGTAAGCACCCCGGCCCTGGGCATGGCTCACCGTGGATTCCAATCATGTGCTCCAGGATGAGGACCCGCTCGGCCAGGATCTTCAGGGCCTCGCGCAGCTGCTGCACCCCCTCGCCCTGGCGGGAGGAAGCCGCGGGGTCCGGGGTCAGGCCACCCCGCTTCCGCGTGCAGCCACAGCCCTGCTCCGCCTCTGCCAACTGTCACATGGGGCACAAAGCGCCTCCCTGCCGCCAGCCCTGCAGCCCAGGGCTGAGGCGGGGTGGCCCAGGGCTGAGGCGGGGTGGCCCAGGGCTGAGGGGGGGTGGCGTTCACTCAGGGATCTGGAGCTCAGCAGTGACCAGCCTGGCTTTTCCTGCTCCTGGTTTGCTTCCCCCGCACGCCCTTCTTTCCAGAAAACACTGACGGGCAGAGCACCTGGCGTGACCCCATGGGTGGGTGCTCTGTGGGCTTCCTCCGGCACTGCCCACCCCCACCCCCAGCAGCTCTCCAGGTATGTCCCCTGAAGAAGGGAGAGCCCGGGGGTGGGGGTGGGGCCAGGATGGCAGGTCTGTGTGTCTGGCACCTGGCGGAGGGTGTGGTGGCTGACACACGCCAATGACCTGCTGTCAGGAGAAGACAGGTCTCGAGGCCACTTGCGCGCACCAGCGGCCCCGGAGGCAGCAGCAAGCCGCTGCCTTCCACTGGGGCTGAAGCAGGTGGTTCCCAGGTCTCCTGAGGTTCGGCTACTTTCCCAGGCCTGCTGCTGGGGGGACCTGCTGCTGGGGGGGCCTGCTGCTGGGGGGGCCTGCTGCTGGGGGGCCCTGCTGCTGGGGGGGGCCTGCTGCTGGGGGG